TTTGCTTTATAAACGTTGGGTCAAAAGTCAACCATTAGGGAGATATCGCGGTACAAAGATGGCGGAAAAATAATGTTTTTATTTTTTATCTTGAAAACGAAAAGAGATAGACTAATGAAATTTCACGGAAGTATTACTGTTATGAAAACACACTTTCTGGTAATTTTTTCACTTTTTTAAAATGAGTGGAAGGGGTTGAAATAAACTACCCCTATCATTCTTGTTAATGAAATTTAAAGAAAAATCTTATCAAACACATGCAAAAAAAAAATAATTTTGATAGTTTAGTTTATTTAGAAACTTTTTTATCTCTTGTGTTTTTTGATAAAACTCACCGATTTGAAATTAAAAAATGAAATGTAAAGCATTACATATCAGGACAAAAAACATTTTTAGATAAAGAATCTAGTGGGCAGCTGTAATTTTTTTAGGAAAAAATCTAGTCGGCCGCTGTCACTTTTAGGATGTTTCTAATATTGTTTTTATTTGACATTACCCTACTGCAATACGTTATTATCTAAATTATTATTATTATCATTATTATCACTAGATTCTTAATCTAAAAATATTTTTAGTCCTGACATGTAATGCTTTACATTTTATTTTTTAATTTCAAATCGGTGAGTTTTATAAAAAAAAAATACAAGAGATAAAAAAGTTTCTAAACAAACTAAACTATCCAAATTAATTTTTTTGCATGTGTTTGATAAGATTTTTCTTTAAATTTCGTTAACAAGAATGATAGGGATAGTTTATTTCAACCCCTTCCACTCATTTTAAAAAAGTGAAAAAATTACCAAAAAGTGTGTTTTCATAACAGTAATGCTTCCATAAAATTTCATTAGTCTATCTCTTTTCGTTTTCAAGATAAAAAATAAGAACATTATTTTTCCGCCACCTTTGTACCGCGATATCTCCCTAATGGTTGACTTTTGACCCAACGTTTATGAAGCAAACTACCCTTTATTTTGAACAAGGAATCACCCCCTGAAGTTTTTCGCATTTGTTTTGAAACACCCTGTATAGAAAGCTCGATGAAAACGTAGGTGAAACTCAGTTCTGCTTCAGAAAGGGATTGGGCACCAGGGAGGCTCTGTTTTCAATACAAGTCCTAATCCAACGAGCACGCGACGTCAATGTAGATGTCTTTGTGTGCTTCATAGACTTCGAAAAAGCCTTTGATAGAGTTCAGCATGACAAACTCATCTCGATTTTACAGGAATCAGGAATAGACGATAGAAATACAGAGATAATAGCAAAACTTTGCCGTCAACAAAAGGCCGTGGTTCGAATCGAGAACGAAACTTCAGAAGAGTTTAGTGTAAGGAGGGGAGTGCGACAGGGCTGTATATTGTCGCCTCTGCTATTCAATGTGTACTCGGAATATCTATTTAAAGAGGCACTAGATGGCACAGAGGATGGGCTGGTAATAAACGGAGAAATAGTAAACAATTTGAGATATGCAGATGATACCGTTCTGTTGGCCGATACCGCTGAATGTCCCCAAAGGCTTAAAAAAAGGCTCGTGTGGCGAATACATGTAGCAGATACGGAATGAAGATGAACTGCAAGAAGACTCAAACGTTGATCATTAGCAAGAACTACATCAACAACTTTCAGTTCACTGCTAACAACATCGTTCTCCCAGCGGCCGAGACAGTTGCATACCTGGGCTGCACCCTGACTAAAGACTGGGACCACTCTCCCGAAATAAAACACCGAATCGAAATCGCGAGAGGGACATTTAACAAAATGCGAAATATGCTATGCAACCTGTCCCTCAACGTCCGTACTAGAATCAGAATCCTGAGATGCTACGTGCTCTCAACCCTTCTATATGGAGCAGAGGCGTGGACCCTTAGAGATGTGATGCTATCGGCGCATGCTTAGGATTTCGTGGGTGCATCGCGTGTCAAATAAGACTGTACTGCATCGCATCAACAAAGAGTTGGGGTTTCTGGTAAATGTCAAAAGAAGAAAACTGGAATACTTCGGACACATCATGCGGAACGAGAAATACCGCCTACTCCAACTCATACTGCAGGGGAAAATAGAAGGCAGAAGATCAGCGGGACGCAGACGAATATCGTGGCTGCGAAATCTATGAGCATGGACCGGATTGACGTCAACAGCTTTGTTCAGCACGGCAGTGAACAAAGTAATATGGATCAATGTGATAGCCAGCATCCAAAGAGGATAGGCACTTTAAGAAGAAGAAGAAGAAGTGCAGTAAAACTCTGGATTAGGGGAAAGCAGAATGTCCACTGGAGAAACAGATAGGGACACTGGCATAGCAAGGCCTTACAACAGGTCTCTGGATAGGAGATGGCTGTTAAGTGCTACCCGAATCAGCTCAACCTTTATCTAGGAAGTCTTTGCTATAGACTTTGCGATAAAGATCCTGAACAGCAGACCACAAAATATGGGGTGTCCCAAGTTCATTCTACATAATTTACCTCTATACAAAAGTGCTTCTTTTGTCCGTTAGAGGGCATCAAACTTTAAAAAAATAAACACATTTTTTCGGATATTTTAAGAACCTAATTCCGACTTGAATGAGATTTTGGGTGTTGATATGTTGTTAAGTGCTTTAACATCTCACTTTACCAAAAGTCAAGAAAAAGTACGGGAATGGTGAAAGCTACCCTACCTAACCTACCCCCTTCATAAATTTTAACGTAAATATTTTCCAGCTCCACCAACGACCCATTTTTATTTCGTACAATCGTCCCTCTAGTATTTACTACATTTTTTGTTACTTGTAAAAAACGCCACCGCGCATACTTTTTGAGGAAAAAATTATTTTTCCGAATCTGATTTCCAAAAGATGTTTTTTGTCATATCAAGCTATGAAGACGCATAAACTCTATTATGCTCTAATAATGTAGTTGGCGAAAATATTGAATTTATATATGTCGGAGTATTTATAATTTAATGATTAAATATTAGATGTGGCAACATCTTTTATATTATCAGTATTTACTTAATAAAGTTTCTTTTCTGTATTTTCGAAAGAAAGGTGACGCAATCGAAATGTCGATTGCAAATGTGGTCCCGAGTCGGCTTCTAGTAGTCTTTATGCTCTATGGTTGAGCGGGGAGAGAGGGAAAGCCCAGTCAAGGATGATGGGCAGACGCAGTGTAGCCAGATTGGGCGACTTATCGCAATTTGGGCTACAAATTGAAAAACTCTGCGACTTTTTTCGCGATTTTTGAACCTACTAAAAATTTGTTGTCTAGGTTTAATTCCGATATGCATAAAAATTTACAAGACACTCCAGATGATGAGGTTTTTGAAATTTTGAATTACATTTTTTAGTAATATTATAATAGGTTTATTATTTGTTTATAAAGAAAATACCTATGTATTTAGTGTTTATAATACCTAAATAAAACATTAACAGTTGTGTATTTTGGAACCAATTTTATTATATAAATAAAAAATATATAGGTTATCAGAACTTTATTACAGTACAGTGATACTTACCTAATATCTAAAACGCATTTTTCGCAAGCGCTAAAAATTTGCGATTTTGGCTATACAGGGTGTCCCAGAAATAAGTGCAAGTATTTTAAGGGGTGGTAGATCTCGATGAAAGAAACATATTTTCTCTTTATCGTTTTTCAAATAGGTCCAAACTAACGGAGTTATTTGACTTCGAAAATTTACAAAAAAAACTATTTTTTGCTAAAATTTTGAGAACCACTGGATCTTTTCTGGATTTTCTTGCTTGTAAATTTAATCTACTACCTATGTTGCCATATTATCAAGAAATTATTTTTTTTAAATAAAAACTAAAAAAAAATCCAAAAAAAAATTGAAAAAATTCGGAATTTTCAATAAAAATATTTTCGCAAAAAAACTCATAGGCGTGTTTCTGGGGTTGAACTATACTACGAGTTAAAATACTTGCACTTCTTTCTGGGACACCCTGTATAATGACAAGATTGCGATTTTGGGCGATATATGAAGCGCTGGCAACATGGCGATTTTGGGCGACATCTGACAGGCAGTTTAGCGACAAGCGTTCACGCAAATCTGGCCACACTGGGCGGACGGCATGATCATGATGTGCCAGTCGGTGCGCGTAAAAGAAAAAAAAGAGCCGACTTGGGAATGCATTGTCGCCATTTTGTTGTCGGTTCGAAGGGATTTAGTTGAAAATCCGGATAATTATTTATTCTAAAAACCCATTTCCCGAAATTAAAGTAATTTAAAATTAAAAAACATTCAGATTGATTTTTTATTGATGCCCTCTAACGCACAAACGAAGCACTTCTGTATAAAGGTAAATTATGTGCAATTAACTTATTTTCATTTGAAAAATACGTACTTGTTCTATATCCACGGAATATTGAAACTTCCTGTATATATTGTAGGTCTTCTTTGGAAATATAAATTCTCCAAAAATTGTGTTCTCACAAACAATGCGATGTGGCGTTCTTTTGCAAGAGACAAAAAATGTAGTAAATACTAGAAAGTCCATTTTACAAAAAGAAAATCTGTCGTCGGTGGCGTTGGAAAATATTTACACTAAAATTTATGTATGGGAGGGGGTAGTTTTTACCCTTCCCGTACTTTTTTTTAATTTTTATAAAAGTCAAACGCACTTATCAAAACAGAGTCATCCAAAATTTCATTCAAATCGGAATAACGGTTTTTAAAATATCTTAACAAATGTGTTTATTTTTATAAAGTTTGATGCTCTCTAGCGGAAGAACGAAACACTTTTGTATAGAGCTAAATTGTGTCCAATTAACTTATATTGATTCCAAAAATACGTAGTAGTTCTGTGTCCACGGAATATTAGGACACCCTGTATATCATTTCGAGGCTCTGGATCGCCGCGCCGACGACATGCTATACATTCTATTTAGGAAAGCAAAGATAGTACAGGAGAAGCTATGCTCTAATCCCATCAGGGATCTGCACAAATTAGTCTCAGGGATAGAAGACTGTGTGCGGCATGCAACGTTATAAAGAAAATATTGGTTTCTTACCGTTTGTTTGTTGACCACCCTAGTCACGGCGCACCTGAACACGTTGTCCAAGTCCAGTTCGAATACCGCCATGTTGCCAGTAGCGTCCGTATGGGGTCTGCAAGCTGGATCGGGGTAGTCCTTCAGTCCCTGGATGTATATGCTGTTTGTGGTGGGAGTTAGAGGAATCTCTACGCGCATTTTTTCTGGAGTACATTGTACTTCTGGAGAATCTGAAATAAAATAGCCTTTATGAAGCATTTATAGGGTTATAATATTGATTAATTACAAGAAGGGTGGGCAAAAAAGTGGAAACAAAAATATATTTTATATTTTTAGTACATAAAATCAATATTTTTAGTTTTCATGCTGGAAAAAAATTACATCATTATTTGATTCTATACAGGGTGTTTCAAAAAACATGTGCCATCTCGCGTGAGGAGGTTCCTCACGAAAAATACGATTTATTTTTTATATCAACGTAGGTCCGATTTTGCTTGGTTTCGTAGCTACAGGGTGTTAGAGTCTTACTATTTTTTCGATTGATTATAATTTTCTTTCAAGTACTCATCAAGGAGGCGGAATTCGACAAAATATCAAGAGATAACTTTTAATTGGCATTAAGCGGCCTACACAATTTTGACATCAAAAGAAAAAAGTCAGTGGCGCACATGTTTTTTTTTAAATATTCCAGTGATAACCCATATACACGTCCCTGATAAATTTGTCGACACTTTTAGCATTAAAATATGTGTCGCATTTATAGTAATTTTTACCCTTAAAATTTCATTCAAATCACTAAAAGTGCTTGGAAGAAAATTATAATAAATCGAAAAATTATTAAGATTTGAACACCCTATAGCGATGAAACAAAGCAGAATCGGACCTATGTTTTAAAAAATCAATCTTATTTTTACGTGAGGAATCTCCCCACGAGAGATGGCGAATGTTCTTTGAAACACCCTGTATAGTTTATTTAACGATTTGACTATAACGTAAAAATTAGCAAACCTCCTGCGATAACTCCCTAATACCTGTCATCACGCGGTCACAATATCCGACGGCGAATAATCTGAAATTTCATAGAGGAGAAAAGTTCGTCACGCTCGTTATAATTCGGTCTTGATCGTACACGGCTCACTAACCTACAAAATCGATGATGGGACGATTACGGCACTAGGCCGAAACGGCTGATATCCTAACCTATAAAGCTCGTTATTTGCGGTCCAGCGGGTACAGAGCTATATTGGCAGGCTAGACGGACGAAAAAAATATGCGGTTAAAGTTGTTAGAGGCAGAATTCAATAGCAGCAGCGCAGCGGTTTGATTCTAGATTGTTAAAATTAAAAAATATATTATCCAAAGAAGACTCCGTAATCACATACATACTGCCATTACTCGCTAACGAGTATGAAACGCATCAGAAGATGGTCCCGCAAGGCGTTTTCTTTCATGAGTTTTTCTGTAAAATGTTTTCTGAAAAGCTCGATACGTGTGATGTTATCTGTCACCGCACTCCAGACATTCAAAAATCTCATTGCTTTGTTGCCTCTTTACTTTTTGGTTGTCACTGTTAACTGAGTTTACAATTCTTCTCCATTCCGTTCTATTGTGAGCTGCTTCTTCCCACTCATTCTGCTTGTTAATCACCTTTAAGTTTTCTTTTAATTTCTTGGTTAAGGATATGGCTGTAATGCTCTCCTTACACGGAAAAAATCATTTCTATATTCAAGAACAATCATACACTTAAAATTTTACACTTTCTTTAAGGATAGTATTCTTTCCATGAGTACAACAAATATTTGGAACTATTTTACTTTTACACTTGCTTTTTAAATATAGTTATAGTCACTTTAAGTAATTTTGAATCTAAAAAAAAAGAATAAAATGACTTATATTTAAGAAAAACTTATATTACTATCAAGTGAATAAATCCTTTAGCAACGAAGAAACTATTATTAAATGTAGTATAAATGCTTTTATATAATAATAAGTATTCTTAACTTTTTTAAAACTTTTACTTGAAATCGGTGTATTAAGACTTTAAATAAGTATATTATTCTCGGCGCGAGAATAACACCCTAATTTCCAAGAGTACTATTACTATTCTTATATTAAGTGACCATCCCCAACAGCAACAACGCAACAGTGCATTCTTGACTCCTATCTTCATTTGGTTTCTGTTTCTCCTCTGCGACACGAGACGCGCCGTTTATTCTAATAAAGACGCGTTTTTTTGTTATCGTTTGTGCTTGTGATATGTTAAAATGGAGGACCTACTTCAGGCATGGGAGATGACGGATTTGATCCCAAAATTTCAAGGTAATTTTAGCAATAATCCTACATTATTTGATGACATTGGTTTGAGGTTAGGGGACTCCATTTTAATATGCATTATTTTTTATACATTGGTGGTAAACTAGGTATGTACGCGTTTGGAATGATTCAATTATGTTTTAAACATTTTTATTATCGTTTCTCGTTTTCAATTAGCGATGCCGCTGTTCAATATCTACCTATATTGGGAAATTACACAGTTTTATTGTATTTTCTTATTACGAAAAGCATATAATTTGGTAGGTGATGTTTGGCTAATCCAATTTAAAAAGTATTGACCATATTCGGGGTTATTCTGGTGATGTTACAATATTCCATGCCTATTGGAAATGGAAATTAAAATTTTTAGCATGTCCCAACTCTATTATATTCATGTATGTTACCAGGCAAACCCGATTTTAGGATAAACCAGTTTTTCTGAGCACGAATATTAACCGGGATCGAAAAACTATATAGTTCTCACAAAATTCGGTAACGTGTTCCCTATGCTTTCGGAGGTTCGGGTTCGATCTTGTTAGAAACTCTTGTTTTGGTAAAATCTTTTCTTAATTTCCATTTACAATAGGTATGGAATTTTGAAATATTACCAGAATAACCCCGAATATGGTTAATACTTTTTAAATTAGATTAGCCAAACATCACCTACCAAATGACATGCTTTTCGTAATAAGAAAATACAATAAAACTGTGTAATTTCCCAATATAGGTAGATATTGGACAGCGGCATCGCTAATTAAAAACGAGAGACAGTAATAAAAATTGTTAAAACATAATTGAATCATTCCAAACGCGTAGTTTAACCGCGTTGTTTCCATACCTAGTTTACCACCAGTGTAGAAGAAATAATGCATATTAAAATGGAGTCCCCCTCACCTCCAACCAATGTCATCAAATAATGTAGGATTATCGCTAAACTTACCTTGAAATTTTGGGATCAAATCGTCATCTCCCATGCCTGAAGAAGGTCCTTCATTTTCACATCATATCACAAGCACAAACGATAACAAAAAAACTTTATAATTTTATAAACTACCTAGTCGGCGCGTCTAGTAACTAACCTAAAAGTAAGAAGAGGCTTTATTTTATAGTAGGTGATATTACACTTGAATAAAGTAATTATTACATGTACACAAAGAATTTCTATACTTAATGCAATAATTTGCTAATTTACAAATAAGTATAAGTAGTACACGAAACAAGATTTTATCTCGAATTGTCTAGAGTGTAGTTATAATCTTAATTTCAATACTAGGTAAATCTTAAATAAAAGATAAATTTTCTTAGCTTCGAAGGATAAGGTTTTCTTAAAAAGAAGTATAACTAGATTTGCGGAATGGGGAAACTAGCATATCGTTGGTTCAAGATTAATAATCTTTAAGCCAGTTTAGCTTTTTTTCCGTGTAATCACACCGAAATGATAAAGGACTGTCGGACTGAGTATCAACTCAGACAAAACAGCGGTAGTGCCATTCACGAGAATGCAAGTCTAAAAAACTTGAAAAGAATCCATCTAGATGAAAAAGAAATACTGCCATCAGAGGAAGCAAAATATCTGGGAATAACCCTGGACAGTAAACTTCTCTGGAACAGGTATTTTAAAACATTACCAGCAAAGCCACAAAGGCTCTCTTCATATGCAGTAGACTGATGGGAAATAGAACATTTTATGCTGGATGTATACCCATGATTAATTATGGAGCAATTGCTTGGTACACAAAACTAGAGCAACGTACAGCCAGGTATCTGTTCAAAGTCCAGAGACTTGCATGCATCTGCATCACGGGAGCTATGAGAACATGCCTAACAGCAGCAATGGACGACATTCTAGGCCTAACACCACTGCATATCGTCGTCGGTAGATATGCTCTATGCGACAATGGTTAGAATGATCATTGACGGAAACAGTACTGGGAGAATTTTTAGCTAAGGAACTTGGAACGCCCAAAAAGAAAACTTCCACTTATCCAATTCCCAGTGGATGGCATACCAAGAATGTACAGCTTTGAGAAACACCTCACTGTAGTATTGAGCAATAAAAAGGACTGGAAGAGAGAAACGTTTGCTCGGCAGGTAAAAGACTGGTAAGATACTGATACTTCCAAAACCAAAGCAGGGACAAGGATAGGAGTATTTGGACCGAAAACTAAATACCACGAACCAGTGGGCACCTACCCCAGCATTTTTCAGGCATAAGACATAAGAAATTTGATTTTGATGTCGATATGACTCCTATTTGTAGAGGGCGCCACCTACATCTGTTTTAACCTTTGAATAAAATGACTAAGGAAGGAGCATAATGCTATCCATGTATTCATGCATGGTGGGCGGAAAAGCCACCATAAAAGCTCTCTAGGGTGGGGATCCTTGACAGTTCTGTTTGACGATTCATTTGACACATTTGAATTTGATTTGAAATTTTGTGGATTTGTCAGTCTTTACGGAGCTTATTTTATGTTATTTATTATTTATTCTACTACTGATAGTTGTATAAAGGTAGTAAATCTAGATGGAAATTGTGGCAGAACTTAAATTAACAGTGACACTATCGCGATTTATCGAAAAAGACTCTAAAATAGTTGGTTGTGTAGCGTGCGGTTGATCTCGGCAAAAATTGAGTGAAATAATGGAACAACTTTTCGCTAGTAAGTGACTATATAATATACATACGTGTAGTAAACCGATCATTTATGAAATTCACTTAAATTAACTAAATTATATATTTTTCTTGCATTTTAGCTTTTATTTATTACTTGTCAAAGATTAGATGTCAAAGAATTTAGATACGTTAATTTGACTTACCTGCTTCAGTAGCGTATCGGATGTTTGTGTTAATAAATACTTATTATAACTTATCTATTTTTATTAGAATCATATACTTTTATAACAATTTTAATAA